GTTTATCTAGCAATGGTTGATTTGTGTTCGTTTATTTAAATTATAGTGTAGTGTTATCAAAGATCTCCCATTTTTAGAAGGAGCGAAAACTGTCAGGCACTGTGAACCAACGTCAGTCACTTGTTTGTCCTGCTTGGATGAGACAGTCCGCTTTGTTTTACTTTAACGCATTAGTGCACTGCAAAATCATGTTAAAAACGAGCACATGTTTTTTTTGCTGAAAAATTCAAGCCGCGAAACACAGACTGTTTTTCATCCACGCACTCAAAAGCTGGACAAACCAAGTGTAGTGAGAATCAATCCGCACAGTGCGGCCTTACAGATGCTCACACAGACGACCGTGTACGGTGTGTGTGTTTGTGTGTGCTGGTGGTCGATTAGGGTGCACTGATTGTGATTAGAATTCGCACGATCGGAATCACGTGACTTGTTTACTTCACTGGTACTCCGAATAGACTCTGACACAAACAAACTGTTTGAAATTGTTTCAAAACCAGTTTCTTTTTCATCGTTAGAATTCAAAATTTTTGTTTTGTTAGGATCGGATGTGGTGAGTTAGAAAATCAAGTTGTCTCACCTATTTGTAGTGATATGCAAATGGCCAGGCAGCATGAGTCAATTGCTTATTAAATAGATGCTTGGCATTTTGAAAGCTGTGTAAACATGGTTCTATAAATTATCTAAACCACGGAATTTCCTATCGTTTGAGAGGACCTGCAGCATTTGTTTAATAGTTTGGATGATTGTTGAAGATCTATTGATCGAAATAAAAAAATACCCATATTGTTTTAGCAGTACACTAGCTTTACGAATACCGATGTGAAAAGAAAAACATATCGTATAGAATCTTAGCATTTTTGGAAGTTCCCTTACTGAAAATGATACTAATAGACTGATAAAGCGTGAAAACGATAAACGTTGTTTATCGACCAAATGTGAAAGTTTAGTTTTTGAAACTCTTATTTACATTTGACTAGAAAAGCGTGCAAGCCACGTGTAACAAAAGTCAAACAAGCCACTTTAAATCAAACCAAACTCGTTGCGAACAAACACGAGTAGGAAACAGGGGGTTGGACGTTCGGAATTGTTCCCTGATCTCGACTATCAGACATAAAATTGTTGACCATTTATCGAATGCTATAGTGCATCAGAATAAATGTAACCAGGATCATAATGAGTGATCCAAAACGTACAGGCCCCCGTTCCGCCTTCATCTTCCGAAATTCTGTGTATTCAGACTTTTGTGTGCAGAAAACAGAACCATGCGTGGTCACCGAGAGCCCGACAGGACTATAAATCATCTTTCCCCTTTTCCTATCAGGCTTTAGCCAAAACCCGAGGTCCTTTTAGCCTCAATCTACAATCCTTCAGCCAAAACCTGCAATGTTTTAACCACGACCCGTAGTCCTTCAGCCTCGACGCACAAACTTCAGTCGTACTGCTACAGGTGAGGCAAATCAAAAAGTACGGTATTTTGTTTTGCATTAGCAAGCTCTGACAGAAATTGAAAAAGAAGTGATACCTTAAAAATGTGCATGCTCACCGTTCCTGTATCTCCACTTGAAGTGAACTACGTGGAAACATTAACAGGTCAAATATAAAAAACACCGTTCACAAAAATACATCCTCATTACAATTATCAGTTTAGTTACACTGCAACGTTAAACATAATTACGACGGTAGAGGCTAACGAATTACAGGTTTGTCTAAAGCTTGAGGAAACGTGTGCGTACCAAAGTGGGTTTGAACCATGTATATTATCCTCGACCTGTTAATGTATCCACGGTGTTCACTTTAATTTAACATACAGAACCGAAGCAGTCCCTTTCAGTGCAAAACCTTTTGATTCATATCAGGGCTTGTGAGTGCAAAACAACACACTGTTCGTGTTACACACCTCCTCATTTCTTGATCAAGCTTTACAATATCAGCATTTGTAGGAAAGATAATTTTTCAATATTCATTGCCCCATAAAATATTCCGATACATTTTGATTTGACTACAGTTTGTACGTCGAGGCTAAAAGGACTGCCGATTTTATTTACGCTTGCTGAGAAAAGGTGTAGTTGGAGGGCACGATTCGGACGAGTATACATCATTGATTTTCACAAAAAGGTGAAAACCAATAAATAGGCATGAATTAATCGAAAAGATACTAGACTATTGTAGCCATGTATTCAAGTTATTCTCGGTCGATTGTGTAGCTCAAAAATTGGGGTTTTGAATCTCAATAAGAAGAGGAAATTTTCAACCGGGACATAAGAAAAGAAAAAACCAAATGTGTATCCCGCTGACGAATCGGAACAAGAACGAAACCGTTGTTCCCGTACAATTGGTGATTGTCTCGAGACACAAATTCACTCGCAAATGATCAGTACTGTAAGCGCATGTGAAGTGTCATGTCACATGAGGTAGTATGCGCAGCGTCCGGGGTTGGGGGTTGGGAGAGGAGATCACATACACGTCGGGTGGTTTGTACACTTACAGAACTAAGCATAGCTGGCATGGGAGATCCGTGCAACTGTTGCCCGTTTGCAATGTTCTCCTCTTCCGAACTGCTGACCACAATTCGTTTGATCAGCAGGCCCATCGCTAGAGGAATGCAAATACAGATGTCAATAAGAGAGTGAAAATAAACAAAACAAAACAAATCATGAACATATTTGTCAAACCCATTTTCACAGTAGTATCCTTTTTTTGGTGAGTTTGTTACTGTGAATGTGAGGTAAACACATATTCTGCAATTCTATTACAAAGGAGGAATGAATACAAACTCGCATCCGTCTGAGTTCAAACTGTGAGTTAAACAAATCGCCTAAACTCAAACGTTCCGTGATCTTCTCGCTTTCCAGGTTTCCCAGGTCAATGCAAACGAATTTTCCTGGGAAATTCACAACCGGGGTCGGTAACTGGGCAAAGCATCGATGTTCAAGACAGCGAAATGGTGTGTGAAAACTGCAATCCACTGGGGGTCGGTGTCCGGTTAATCGGATCACATGTCCAAGGATCCCGATAAATCTCGATGCCAAATCCACCAGGTGACTAATGCCAAAATCAACGAGGTGTGGGTGAGTGTGGTTTGTACGCTCCTACTTGATTCGTTGGGAATCAATATTTTTAGCCATCTCCCCTACGCGAACTGCCAGTGGTTATAGTCGCCTCGTCGTATAGGGGCATTTCTAAAGGTGCAAGGAGAACGGTAACCAGCCCTAAACCAAGAGACGCATCCCCGACCATACGCAGCCTAAACTGCTGCTTATTTATGAGAACTGGGAACCTAAGATTGAAGTAGTGCGTGACATGGAGCTCAAAAAGAAAACAGATATAGTATTGGAACAAAGAAGAATAAAATGATGTTTCAGTTGGAACCTCGAACTTTGTAACTCGCTTCAAGGGTTTAATCACCGGAGTCTATCACAACTACTACGCAACAAATATTATGCCAGAAAAAAAAACACCTCCCACCAATAGTTGGGACTGATATGTCTCACCGAGTGGGGAGCACACTTCCTGTGAATGTGAATCATGTGCCCATCTAAGACAGGGGATTGACAAATGGCGCCTAATTCAACTTCAACCGCATCTTGTTAACAATAGGGACATTTAGTCACCACATAGAAAAATTAACCGAAAGAGAAAAACTGGACAAAAAGACACATATGCCAGACATGATATTGTTATACGTTCTCATCTATATTTGGGATAAACGGACTAAATAGAATTCACAGTTTACCGTAAGGATTTGATGGATTGAATTCGATGGCCAATATCGGAACAGGATAAAAGTAGATTGTCGGCGTTTAAACACCGCTGTCTACTTCGCATTGCACGAGTCTAGTAGGGTAACCGGACTAACAATGCTGAGGTTAGGTGTAAAGTTTTAGGCAGTCGCGGCCGTCCACTGGAGCAAATGATCCACTTCCATAGATTACGTTGGTTGGGTCATGTGTTACGCATGTCACCAGATAGTTTACCACGGCGAACGATGTTTGCCAAGGCTGGTAGCGATTGGAAAAAAACGAAGGGCGGTCAAGCTAAGACCTGGTATTAGGGTATGAAAACGCTAACCAAAAGACTAGGTCACACAGGCTCCGCTAGGCTCTCTGGCTAGGGACCTCGGGATGATGATAACCGATGGTTAGAGACCATGAGTGATATGGCTGGGTGTCGCAAACACTGGTGCTCATGCATCCACTCATTATTCCCCGAACACCTATGAATGCTCCATCTTCGCTTCAAATTGCTTTCAATATTTTAATCTTCATTGTGATCTTTTGTCCTAACGAGGCATCAAAAGACAGCAACCAAAACCGGTGCACGAAACTGCATGATTAATGATTGTAAAAACTAAACGGAATTTCGATCGTCAGAGATCGGCTTCACACCCGGAAACCGCGACGAAACAAAAAGCAAATATGAATTCTGTCAGAACTACCATCTCCTATTCTGTCATCTTTGTTATTAGCTGATCAAACGTGGGATCTGTTTATTGCCTGCATGCAACAATAATAATTCGGTCTGAGATGTTGTATTCCCTCTTCGACATACACATTTATATACAGGTGTTGATCAAACTTGTGCAACATCACTCTCGTTTTGGAGATATATTTCAGTTTCAAATATCATACCCGTATATTGATGACAATGGGTAAAGTACATTTATTCCTGATTTTATCTTCCACTTCCATAATCTTAGTTTTCTTTTATCACCGTTTGAATTATCGTGACCTTGATCGTTGCGATTAAGTTTGTCGTACTTCGAAAGTTACATTTCAGATTTGGAAAATATTTTTAGCGAGGCCGCATGGGAATTCATTTTTTTAAATAAATGATTCCTGTTCCATGACAGTATTTATTACGTTGAGCCTACGTTTTTCTCTTTTCATTCAGTGCACAGTAGTGAGGCACATTAATGAAAGTATTCTAACTAAATAAATTGATGAATTGTTTGGTTATATACTGCTCACGTATCATTCAAATTACTGGCATAACTAAAAACATAACTCAAGAATCATAAAATGTGATATTCGAAGGTAGACCTTGAGGTGTGCGGCTCGTTGAATAAGCGTTTTGTTGAGTCACCAAACGGTTGTGGCATAAAATTGAAACCTGTAGGCAACTTAATTGAGATGATTCAGTTGGTGTCTTGTGGAAAATCTTCAATGTAAACGAAAGTCCAATTTATAACATATTCAACGAAATTTCTCCATCAAGACATAAACCGAGAGAGAAAGAGAAAAACGATCATATCAAAGCAAGATGATGGTTGTATTTCATCGCAGTGGAGAAGAGTTGCATATAACCAATATGAAGGATAGTCCGGGCTGATTAGCCGCTTTTCTGGAAAGTGATGGCTCAATCTAACGTGCAACTGAGGCCATGTTGTGTAGAGCTGTTTATGGAACGCCCAACAAAGCAAAGAATGCATTGATTTTGCCAACAAATTCAAATCACGTTGCCCGTCCATTTGACAATGAGTTTATCTCACTGGTGGCCAACGAGTAATTCAGCATGCGGTGAAAGCTGATCTACTCAGCTTGTTTTCTAATGAACTGTTCATAAATGAAGGCTCGTATATCTTCTCGCTTGGAGTTGGTAGTTAAAACGGTCAGACTTAATTAAATATTATTTTTTTACATTTATGCAGTCTCTGGAGGAAGTAAGTTCAATACCGAATTCATTCAGATAGCTCGCAGAAGCTGGGATTTTAACCTAAACGAAAACTCTTCTATGTTACAGAAACAGGGATAAGTTAGCTGCGTCGACAGTGATCGTAAGTTGCTAGGGGATTGAGTTTGTTAGAGGAAACTGTCAAATTCTGTATGGCAGTCAACTTGGTGGACTCCATGCTAAAGTGATGCCTTCCAGTGCTCAAAAATGAGGAAGGGCGAATAGAACATAGAGGAGATGAAATAATAATACCTGTACTAAGTCAGTAAATCATTTTATTAAATAAATTCTAGTTAATTTTTCTACGGTGACTTTGGAATTCCTCAACTGATACACCAGTAACCATCGTCAAAATCACCAAATCGTACATTTTAATGGTATGCGGCTAATATGAGCAAAGACATATGTGGGTATTACATCAAATATGTTGCGTCTGATGTGGGGCGATATCACATTAAATCCCGTGAATGAGTCTGGAAGAACGACGCATTGACACAAACCAATGTGATAAAAATCAGGATGTTGCCAGAGTTTGGTCAATACATGTATATATAACAAATCTATTACAGCATAATCAGATTAATGTTTTCAACTCAATATGAACAGGGTTCTTCCTTGTTAGACTCGAATCCCCTCCGATTGATTGCTAGTTCACGAGTGAGGTAGACTGGTTGAGTCAGAAACTCACCGGCTTTGTTGTAAACGTAATGAAGCTATTTAATGCATGGAATCGCTATTAGCGCCTACATTTTCCCAAGATTAGTGGAGTTTACCCTATATCTTGCTTCCGACAGCCTCAGTATGGTCAGGGTGGGTGCCTCAGGTTGTCACTGGTCACCTCTATCTTGCTCTCCACGAGTTGGTCCCAAACGACCAAGCGTCCAAAGTAGCCTCTGCTGAGGAAACTTTACTCATTGCCTTCGCGTGGCGGAGAAGTTTTTGCACCAAAGTGAGAGGACGAAAAGTCAATATCTGGGGCAATAACCTGGTTGGTGAACCACTGACGGATCACTTAAGGAGGGTGGCTAAGATCACTGATACCAAACCAAGAAGAGGCGTACTAGGCAAGCACACACCATTTGGGGGTAGTTGTGACCAGCTCAATTGAGAATGGAGGTGTATTGAACAGCTTAGGCGTTTGACACTGTCCAGTGGGCGTATGATTCGATGAACTGCACACCGGCCCCTAGTAGATTGCGATTTCGACAAACCGCCCCGCTGTCCTGCGGATCAAACTTTCGTTAACCGAAAGCTCCGGTTGTGAATTCTCTCCAAAAATCATCTACCTTGGTCTCAGCAAGCCAACCGTATTCCACCCACATGCCAATCATGTAACTTTTTGTCTTTTTATAAAGATTATTGTACCGTGATTTGTTTGGTACACCACCTGAACTCAGACTTGTCTGAATATATATATATATATATATGTATACTCGATTTTCGTCCTAAGTCGTTATTCTAACCGCTTACTGTGGTCAACTTGCACTCGGCTCGCATTCTGAGTTCAACCATTCAATTCGTTTTCTATGAATGATGGAGGATTTGATTCAATTGCATTGAAGGAATTCGTCGTGTAGTCAGGTTGTGAATGTTTCCAAACGAGTCATAACCCCCTAGAGGCTAGTGCTGAGATGAGCAAGACGCGATGCCAGCAACAAACACGCGAAGATGGGTTGTGCTATTTCGTGTAAATAGAAAACAAAAAACGGTTTGGTCAGCTGTCCCGGCGTGGCCGAGCGGGTAGCATGATTGCGTCCTACCCGTATTGGGTCCGGGGTTCGATCCCCAGTTGAGTCAATAGATTCAAACTGTTCATGAGACCCAACCAGGTCAAAGTGATTGCACAGCGCTTCCTAGCTTTTCAGTTCACGCTTCATTTGCTCTCTGTATGAATTTGTGCAAGCATTGAAGCTCCCATAG